GCATTTATGACTTGCAGGGTAACATGATGACTTAGGTCTAAAGTCCAATACTTGGCCTCTTTCTTTTTTGTTGCATTTTGGAGATATTTGTTTTTCATTATCATCTATTGGTGTTCTTCCTTCGGGTTACCATAATTTCCATTGCTACTGCCAAAGCAGGATAAACATGAGCCTCTTATAATCTTATTCTGTTGTTGTGTGACCTCATACTGCCGAAGTCTTGCAGCTCATGGATAAATGAAAAGATTAAAATGGTTTTAATTTGAAATCTTGATTCCTTCTGAGCTTTCGATGAATAGACTAGATGTAATAGTGCCTCTTCCTTATGCAGCTTACAAATCCTCATGCAAGGAATTTTTATCTATAGATTGTTTTGAAAGCAATAAATTCCAGCAATGATTGTAAATTTTGATTCCCCCCCCCCCCCAACATGGGCGAATCTGAATTTTTATTTTGTTTGTGTGCCAGTTTTGAATGGTCTGACACTATTTTGCTATTGTAGAGAAACTTCTTGTATTGCTGAGAGATGGTAGAAAGCTACTGGGAACACTTCGCTCTTTTGATCAATTTGGTAACCTTCTTTCCTCCTATTATGTAAGTTTGGACATAGTACATGATGATCATCCAAATATTCATATTAATGATATGCAGCTAATGCTGTTCTTGAGGGTGCCTGTGAGAGGGTTATTGTTGGTGATCTGTATTGCGATATCCCTTTGGGTCTCTATGTAATCCGTGGGGAGAATGTTGTTTTGATTGGTGAGCTGGTATGGTTGCTGATTAGATTCCTTTGCCTCTGAATCTTTTATACATCCCAACCTCAATCTCAGAAAGAAATTTTTCCCCTCTTTTAGGACCTGGAAAAAGAGGAACTTCCCCCACATATGACACGTGTTTCAGCTGCAGAAATTCGAAGGGTAATTGTTCCTATGTTGACACTCTTTTCTTTTATAGGCATTCTTTGTGTCTATTTTTTGTTTACAAATTATTTCCTACAGTGACCTCCATGGCCATTGCTGAGCGGATTTGTGCTATCTAATTTGATGTAAGGGTGGGTATTCATAGGCTTAGTTTGGTCTGGTTTTGGATTGATTTTGATTTGAATATTTGCTTGATTGTTAAAAATGAAGCTCGTGTCTATACCATCAAATGTTTATTCTTTATGTAAAAGGTAGTAATTTAACCAATCTAGCACAAAGTGAAAATCAAACCAATTAGGTTTTTTTTTTTTTTTTCATGCAACAAATCAATTTGGACCTCCTTTCTTTCAGTTTTGGTTTGTCTTAATCAGTTCAGTTTGATTTGGCTTTGAATACCTGTGACGAGACACTGGACTAACTGATTTTTGATTGGCATAACATAAAATTATTTTCCACGCCAGCCCAGAATTTATGCAGTTTATTTTCTTTGGTTTTTGAACGTGAATGTGAATTTTTGCAGGCACAGAAAGCAGAAAGGGAGGCTACAGATCTGAAGGGAACAATGAGGAAGAGGATGGAGTTCCTGGACTTGGACTAGTAAACCCTACATTCACACATCCTTGCCTTTTCTGTCCGCAAATATTATAGCGGCTGCTTTTCACGCTCTCTCATTCTCTCTTATATTTTTCTTGTGTTGGTAACTGTTTAGATGTAATTGTAGGAATTAGGAGGATTGAACGTTGCTAAATATTCTTCTTTGTGATATTAGCCTGAATGAATACAGGTTGATTCCTTTTCTTGAGAAAATGCTTTTGTTGCCATGATTTCAAGGCCTCAACACCTATCTGTTTGGAAGTACAGGGGAATTAATTTATCATCCTATGCGCAGCTTTCCCAATTTAGATTCCCTCCCTCCCTCGTCACTTGAGGGAATCTTAGTTGGAGGGACTAAAGTCTTGTCTGTTAGCTAACCTAGAGGTTGCATTTTTCGTAGCATGCCATGGACAGTGTGGCTTGCTCTTTTGGCTTCATACACTCTCGGCTTTCTGGCCTTTGTGGTTCAGTGTTTATCCTGAATCTGCAATGGCATGGACTTTGATTTTGAAATCAGGCTTACCAAAACTCATGGGAACAAGGTTGTGACTTAAGCCTTGGTTGTTTAAGGCCGACACAGTTAGGCCTTTCAGGATCCAGCTCATGATGTTCGTTCACTTTTAAGTTTTAACGGGTCTCAAAAAAGATCTGAAGGTCTGAGAAAGCATACTGATTAACAATGACGATAATTGATTTTTTTCCCCATTATATAATGCTTGTTTGGCATTACTTATATATGTAAATCTAGGAAAAAAAAATTTTCACATACTTATATTATATTTTGTAAATCACAATTGAAGTGCTGTTTATAAGTTATTCTAAATAAGTTTTTGATAATAACCGACAACAATTTTAAAACTGTAAGTTCTTAGAAAGCATTATTGTTTTATAAAATTCAAAATTGCACGCCAACTAAGGTTCAAGGGTTCTAAATTTGATATTAGGAGGTGTTTGGGACACTTTAAAAGTGTTTTTTTTTTTTAAAGTTTTGTAAGTTGAGACATTTTTTTACATATTTATTTGGTATATAGTAAAATCACTTTTAAAATTATGGTTTGATTTTTATTCAAACAATCCTTAGGTAGTAAAGAAAATGGATTAAGAAAGTGTCTGGATAAATACCAAATCAAGGTTTTAAAAATAATTTTACGATATATAAAGTAAATATATGAAAAAGTTTGTCTCAGAAGATGTTTGACATTTTTGAAAAGTATTTTTCTGAAAATCAGGCAAACTCTTTTATATATTTATTTAATATGCTGTCAACATACTTTTAAAATTATGATTTGAATTCTATCTAAACACCCTCTCAATTTGTTAAAAAAAAAACTTTTTAAAAGCACCTTTTTAGTTATTTAAACACTCGTTGAGAAGTTTTGCCAGAGTTGGGTTTCACTCCTAGTACGGTGACTACGGCGGTGACGGGTTCTTTATGCTCTAAAGCTTTGGATCAAAGTTGCAAGAATATCTACCTTGATATAATAACGACTCAGTGAAGGCTCCAAGTCTTTGAACCCTCTATCTAAGGAACACCATGCTCACCCCCCACCGCTACTTGTAAGTGATATCCCCGATCAAATAAGAACTACCGTCAAGTTAGTTTTTCAAGAGCGTGACTTCTTCAAGAGGTATTCCTAATTTGTATTTTTTTTTTGTGGGTTCGCTAATTAAGGAGATTATTTTATGAAGCTTTTTATTCACTGTAGGAAAGATTCAAACTTAAGGCTCTAAGTCTTTGGATTTTACAAATGACAGATTGGATCATTGATTCGTTCTGTCATTGACACAATTCCAGGACCTAATCTGGAATTTCGTATATTTCAAGGGTTTTTTTTGGATTTTTCCTTAAATTATCTTGAAAAAAAGACAAAAACAAATACATTTAAATATACAAGATCCCATATTAGTATTAGTGAAAAGTAAAAAAATCATATCAGAACAAAAATACTGATTTGGTATTTTTAAATGTTGGTAAAAAAACAAGCATATCCTTAATATATTGACAAAAGGAAAAACAATGCGAAAAGCTAATATAGTCTATTTATATAAAGTATTGTCAATCGATATGAAAGAGTTGTCAATACTCTTAACAAAAGGCAACATGTGATTTGCCCAGGTTTTCTAATTGATTTGTTTTATAATGAATTCTGTTGATTATTTATTCTCAATATATAAAAAATTGTTGCCAATCTATTCATAAGAGTCGTTAATATGACCCTAACTGATTGGCAACATGTGATTGGTCCAAGTTTGTCTACTAGTTTGCCCTGTAATAAATTTTTCTAATTACTTATTGTTGCCGATACATATAAAAATGTGTTGTTAATATATTTGAAAAATTGTCAACATGCCTAACAAAGTTGTAATGGATTTTTCTAATTACTTGTTGTCATGTTGACAATTTATTTTAAAAGAATTGTCAATGATTTTAATAAAAATGGAATGAATTTTCCTAACTACTTATCAATACATATAAAATTATTGTTAACTTATTTGGAGGAACTGTCAGACATGCCTAGTAAAGTTATTAATGTATTTATGTGATGATAATTGGTGTGGTCTGTTATAACTTATAAGTTTCCCACATTGTACCAACACTTTTTCCAAATTTCAAAATTGTTAAAAATAAATCAACATAGTCCTCTCTCTCTTGGATGGAAGAAAGTCGGATAGGTTGTCCACTCCATGATTGTGATACTTTTTGTCCAGACCTTTTTCCTTCCTTCGGCCTCGAATTCATTTTCTTCCACTTGCCTCTTCTTTTTTCATTTGGTTACTACTCTCAAAACAGCAAATCAAATCATCTTTTAACTACCCCCAAACTAAATCCATCAATGCCGTCGAGTCAAGAAAAGCAAAGTTGAGAGATTTGGACATGTGTTGTTTAGTTGCATTAACAATTTGTTGCTCCCATTCCTCACATTTACTGGGCGGTTCTTACTCTTCCAGCCGGCACAAGGAGGACTTAATTCAACGGAGGTAGTGCTGGCGGTGGGGTGATCGTGAGAACGATAAAAAGTGAGCAGGCAATGGGAAAAACAAAATGGAAGAGTGAAAAATCAGTGAGGACATTGTGGTAAATTGACCACATTCAAAAATCCCAATTTGATATCTGGACACTAATTTCGAGTAAGTGGAATTGGAATACTCATATGGAATTTTCATATTTTAAAAGTATTTATTTAAAATTTTTCTAATTATTTTTCTGCTTCCATCCCCTCCTTTCTCATCCTTATAGGATTGAAGTGAGGGAATTTATTTTAGAAGTATTACAATAAGATTAAAAAAAAACAAATAATTATAAAATAAGTTTTTTAATCAAAACTTATCATTTTTTATTTTAGAATTTGTTATTAAGACTGTTTAGGCAGTCATTAAGACAGTAATTTTTTTTTATTTTATTATAAATTTCTCTTCTTCTTCTTTTTTTCCCGTCCTGACAAAATTGCCCACAGTTTTCTTGGGTAGTCCAGTATTGCCCTTTTAACTGGTAAACCCTTCTCGTTTCTTGCTCTTCGGTGCTCAGCCGCTCTTCTTCCCTCATCGGTGCCTGGCGCCTCTCCTCCTCCCGTCGTTATCGACGCCACCTGGTCCTGCGGTTGCCACGTCTCTTCTTCTATCCATTTTCATTGTCTTCAGGTGAGTATCTCTCCTAGATCATATCGATTCTTATGTTCTTCATCCTTGTTCTTGCTCATACATATCTCAACTATCTGGTTTCATGTTTCTGGTTTTATTTCCTTTTCTTCTTCGATTCATATTTCCCGTTTCTTCTTTGTTCCTAGTTTCTCTCAGAATTAGTCGAACTTAAAATTTTCTGACTTGCAATAGGATAAACCAAGAGCCGTCCTAAGTTATTATATAAGGGTACACTAGAAATTGAAGTCAGACCAAACGAAACCAAAAGGCTGGAGTTTATAAATGCAACACATAAGTTAGGAGTATCGATATGCACTTTGAAGAAGATTAAGTTGAAAATTGAAATAGCTTTTTGGTTAAGACATCCTTGATTGAGTTCCATGTAACAGTTTCCATAATGAGCCAACCCTCGACATCTGTGAGGAATGCCATATGTTATAAATAATGAATGTTGATTCTGCCTATGTAGCTACAGCCTTTGGTAAATATGACTTCCCTGTTCCAGGGCACCATCCAAAGCGATTGTATTTGAGTTGGAATCTTGTAGCTACTCCCTCCTCTTCTCTTCCCTCCCCTCCCCTTCGTTGAACCAAACTCACCCTGAAGCAATCTCGCGTCTATCATCTCATATCTCGCCGTTGTCGAAGTGGAAGACTCAATCTTTGGCAATGGGTTAGTGTTGTAATGTTCTATCCATCTTTGATTTGTGATTCTTCCATTAATCTTGGCCGTCGCGACTGTTTCGGTTCTCGATGGCTAGAGAGAAAGCCTATAGGTCTACCACAAAGCGCAAGTTGGGTTCGTCGATTTTCGTTCTTGACTGTTAAAAGCTGTGAAATATCTCACTTCTTAATTTAAGTTGTATTTGTCATATTATTCTGGTTGTTTTTTCAGAGAAATAAACCATTTGGTACCAAACTGAATCTTGCTTACTCCTACCACTTGTTTTTACAAATTTTATTCGCTATTGTTTTGTTGTGCGTTGCAAATTCCATGATGAACTCTGGGTTTCATTTCAGAGTATGCATTGGGAACTTGATTCTCCAATGCAGTAGCACAGTGCTAAAGCCACCCGTTACAGTTGTCTATTTTGGACCCATCATTCCATAAATCTACTGTCCTTATAACACGGTGCTGCTCCATTTGTTTTTTATTTTGGTCCTTCTAATTTTGAAATCAGCTTCATGCTTTGTATTGTAAAGTCCTGATTTGTTAAACTGCTGCACAAATTTGACTCATCGTGAATTTCTATTTGAATGTCAAAACAGGATCCTTTGTTGCTCGTGTATTCTGGCTGTGGGTTCTGATAAATTTTGTGACATAAGTCTGGGCTGCCTTATTATGCTTTGGTTCTAAATTTTGTTTATGCTTTGACGGAGACTTTCATATGCTTTGCTGCTGGCTTTAGTATTTTAAAAAAAAAAAAAATGAAGCACTCTGCTTTCAGATATGAATCTGCTTGAGTGAAGGCGGTGTCCTCATCCATTACTCATTAAGGGTCTTTTGAATGGTCTTTCAAGTGGTCGGTACATGTTCATTAGCTACTGAAGTGTGGATAAGATTAATTGCAAAGCTAACTTTACATAGTGCTAATTAATGCACAGTGACGCATGAAATAACCAAGTCCGCGAAACTAGGGCTCAGTTGGCAAACTTTAGGAATATAAACTTCTGAATTTCATCTTGGGATTTTTTGGATTTTTTTGGTTAGATTGAGTGTGTACCAGCTGTGAATTGACAAGTGTCTGTATGTTGTCAAGTTTTTAGTAAATGATGGATGATGATAGAATGAAATGCAATATTGAAAGACTGGTTTAATTAAGGCGGATTAAGTTGAAGGAAAATATATATGGATGACAACATGAACATGCTCTTACTTGTCATGGCCTTTTTCTTACCTGTAATTATGGTTTGGATTGTGAGCCTATGTGTATTTAGTATTCGTTTGAATTTCTTTGCGTGCAGATTGGAATAAGATGAAGAAGGGGTTGCACCCACAGATGCAATGGATCTCTTATGTAACCCAAAGTGGGAGGTTGATGCATGTGATGATGACAAAGATCCACCCTGTTGGCAAAGTCTACCACTTTCGGGCTAAACGTCAAATGGCTGAGAGCTTGGGCCAGATTGCCAAGTTCAGGCGTCGTTTTGGACAACAAAATGAGGACTCAGATGCCAAATGACTTGTTCACTGGTAGAACGAAGTTTGCAGTTTCGCTCTCTATTTAGGAGGTTGAAAATGAGAAGGAATTTGGTGATACTCTGAACCGTTCCGTATTATATAATTAAAATGTGAAAATATTTGCTTTCTTAATCATTCAAGTTAACCGATGCCTTTCGTAATAAAAAGTTACAAGGAAGCAAATTTTTGAGTAGAGGTTGGAATTTTTACATTAGCACCTCTGTGGAAATTATTTGTAATCTGTTCCTTCTGTTCTTTTCTGTCTTGAACTTCATTTTATGCGATTTACTTACAATTGGTCACCCCCTGCCTCCCCAATTTTTTTTGTGGTTTAGCTCGACTTTGCCCACACATATACGCGTATATGAACTTACAGCCTGATATGTGTTCAAATAAGAATATTTATTATTCCATTTAATCTTTATTTGCATATATATAATGGGGGCCAAACTCCCTAACATATTCATATCCCTTTTGTCTTGTGAGAAAACGTATAAATAAAGTAAATAATCCCGAGTTTGCCTGGACAATAAGCTTTTGCTTTAGATAATAAATTATTTAAACAACTGAAGGCTAAAAGAGGTGAAATTCTTGATCACGTGTAATATATATTCACACTAATTTGGTCAAAGAAATATCGAAATGATATCATTATACGTCAAATGTTTTAATGATTTTAAACCTTAATTAAGTGTACTAATGCTCCTTAAATAAAGAAATAAGACAGAAAGTATAAAATCAACAGCCCTCGAATCACATTACATCGTGACAACCAGCGTAAGCTAATTGAGCCTAGCGCTGATAATGGTGAACCTAACCACTGTTGCTTGATTCTTGTTCATTGTTCGTTTCCTATACCTTATGCTCATCACCATCTCCTCTGGAACCTGCAATATTGAAGCTTCACCAACCTAAATTTTGTTTCACCATTTGTATGTCCATGCGTTGAATTAATATATATGTATATATGTGTGTGTATGTGTGTGTGTATATATGTGCACACACGAAAGAAAAGGAAAATGCCTTCGAATTTGATGCAGCATGAGTGCAACAATACCAATATACGATACGAGGCCGTCTATCTTATATTAATCTGAAATCGCCGCATTGATTGAAAAACGAAACTCGAAGGGCTAATACGTAAAAAGGATCAGGAAATTGAAGGTGGGGAAGTCTTTACATTGTTGCCATTTTTCTGCACTCTGCCTTCGTTTTACATTTTGATATTCAAACTTACAATTTAATTTAACTCCCATAGTCTTGATGAGGATCGGAATTGGCCTTAGTATGCTATTCTGCTTATTGTTCTCAGAATTGGACAGGGTCCTTATTCCCGTTCAACCTCCATCATCAAATCATCACACACCTTTCGATTCCATTTTGGTTTCTGTGTCATCATCAGATTTTGCTCTGCCTGTTCCCTTCCGTTATTGATTGCGCTGCATCTTTAGCCAATTCTTTCTTCTCCCTATCTACCCTGGATTTCAGCTTCATTGGTTGTCTCTTCTTCTTCGGCTTCACTGGTATTTACTGATGTTGATGGCTCAATGTTGGAGCTGCTTATTGCGTAGATCTTGTTAATAAAAATAGGACAAATATTTTACGTCAGTAATTATGGCTATATGAATAAAAATGTTTAGGAACATGATTGGGTGATCTTTTCATTTTATATGCCTGGAAACAAACTCTATCTATAACTGAGGGATCAGTAAAAACTTGCATGTGTCTTTACAGAAAGTTATGCTATTACCCCTTGTAAGTTGAGATGGATCAAGTGCCTAATTTTGTACATATCTTGTCTCGAAGAGGATTAGGAAATGGCAAAATCAAAACTCTCACTGTGCCGGTGGCCCGATTGGCTTCCAACGCTGCTTGATCCAAAGCTTCTCTGGGACCACTCATCTTGACCTTTTGAGCCGGATTCCTGGGCACCTTTATTTTGTATTTCCTCTATCCTTCTCAGTGCTTCAACCATGTCGGGTCGTTGCTCAGGGTTACTTGCAGTACAAGCAACACCAACATAGAGGAGTCTCTCCATCTGACCTGTATAACTTTTAGAGCTTGCAAGTTGAGGATCAAGCATCTCTAATATCCTTCCTTCAGATATTGCTGAGTTAGCCCACAGAACTACATCAATTCCACCATTGCCGTTGTTGAGATATTGGGAAGGGAATTTCCCAGAGAGGATCTCAAGAATGACAACTCCCAGACAATAAACATCAGATTTGGGAGAAACTTGGCCGTTCTGTAAGGCTTCAGGAGTCTTGTAAGCAAATAGGGCTTGGCTTAGATTAGCAGGATTGATCAAAGAGCATGACCCAAAATCAACTAGCATTGGCTCAAAATCAGGACCAAGGAGAACATTGCTAGACTTGAGATTTCCATGAGATAAAACAGATGAAGCAAGTTGCGTTTGAAGATAAAGCATCCCTTCAACAATCCCTCGCACAATTTTTAAACCAGTAGGCCAGTCCAGTTCAGCATGGGATGGTCCTCGATCACCTGCAAGTAGTAAAACTCCTCATTATATGTTAATAATGTAATTTTTAGCAAAATCCCAAGACACTTAGTCAGATCACTATAATAGACAAAAATGGGGAAAATTGCTTAAGTGACTAGAATTTTATTCTCTGCTATAGGCTTAGGGATTGAAGCTTCTCTAGTCTTGTAAATAAATGAAAAATTATGTATACGATCTCTAGTCCACCACTTAAATACCGCATTTAATTTTAAAACCAGGGAGGATGAGGAGGAAAGGACAAGATTAAAGTCTCTACCATGCAGCAAATATTGCAGACTCCCTTTAGGAACATACTCAGACACCACTAACTTCTCGTCCTTCCTATAATGATAAGCCAGAGGGGTTAAGATATTCTTGTGTCTCAAACTCCCAAGCTTCCTCATCTCTGCATCAAACCCGTCTTTCGTCAACACATTCATCTCCCTCATCCTCTTTACCACCACTGCAACCCCATCAGCCATCACCGCTTTATAGGATGATCCAAACCCTCCAGTCCCCAAAACTTCTGCTGCTGCCTTCATCAAATCCAGCATCCCAAACACACCTCTTTCACTATTCACCATAACAAGGTCTCCGACGCCGCCATTGCCGCCGCCGCCACCCTTCCCCCTTCTGCTGGAACCATTACGACTTGATTTCCTGGATATACTTGTCTCTTCTTTCTTCTCTGGTGCAGCAACCTGAACTTCCACCGATGCTGATGATACTTCGTTGTTGCTCTCTGATCGGACTGAACCCAGTATTCCCTTCTCGTTCTTCTTTCGCCTTGATCGAACATAGAGTAGAGCGAGAAGTGCCAGAAGCACTAAAATAGATGCAACAACAATTGCGGCAATCTTCACTGTGTTACTATTACTACTAGAATTTGAATCAGACGCAGCGCTTTCTTTGTTTTGTTCTTGTTCCGTATTTTCCATGGGTTTTGGCGCTTCAACTGAATTTTTACACGGTTTGTTTAATTTCTCACCACAGAGGCCAGAATTATCGGAAAATGAGCTCGCACTAAATTTTGATAAGCTCGACGGGATTTCGCCTTCCAATTTGTTGTTGGACACATTGAATTCCATCAGCAATGTTGTGCTAAGATTCGGGAGGTTACCGCTAAACTGATTGTTCTCAAGGCGTAGCTCGAGGAGCTGAGGAATCTGCGACGGAATCTGACCCGTAAAGTTGTTGTCGTTAAGCCATAGTTTCTTCAGAGACCTCATTTTCTGGAAGAAATCCGACGGAATCTCGCCGGAGAATTGATTTCCCGACAAGTACAGAGCCCTCAAGAAACCTATTCTATTGATTTCCGGAATTGCACCTGAAAAATAGTTGTTGATAATGCTGAAAGTTCGAAGACCCTTGAGTTCTAGCAACGGATTTACATCGATCTTCCCGGACAACCGCATTCCTTCTAATCGAATGCCAGATATGACCCCATGGTTGCAGATGACCCCGTCCCATTCTTCCCCTTCTTTGAAAGGAACAGAGTTAACCACCCAATCTTTCAGAGCTTGAGGATCGGAGAACGAGGCTTTAAAATTAACCAAAGCTTGAGCTTCTGACATTGAATTCACCAATCGAAAAACCATGAAGAAGGTGGAGAATAGGAGGAGAGTTGGCCGGAAGAATGCCGGAGCTACGGCCATTGCTTGTCAGAAAATTGAGCAATGGATTTGTGTGCGGATTTTCTAATCATTCATTTTTTTCTGCAGGTTTTTCGATTTTGCCTAACTTTGTGTTGTAATAAAGTCGAGTTAAATTTGTTTGTTGGCCAAGTCCAGGAAAAAAGGAGGGAAAATCCGTCAAAACCGTTTGTTTTCATTGACCCTAATGCCCTTCCAGGTTGATCCCACTCTCCTCAGGGCCTCCTTCCCCGTCCCAAGGACACTGTGGTCTTTTCGTCCAATGGTTTCAATATTTGTGTTTGAAAATAGGTTCCTTTGAGCTGTGACGGTCAGTGAAAGATTGTCATTTGGACCAAAGAAACCAGAGAGCAACAAACACAAACCGGAAACAATCACATTAACTGCAAACACATTTCAAGGCGTTCAACAAAACAGAATTTCCGTTCTTCAGTTTTAATACAAGTAAACAGAAATCATTTTATTCTTTGAAATACAAAGACATGGCAAAAACCATGTAGAGGTGGGGAAAACCAGAGTTAAGACGCATCAAGATTCAAAATATTCCTACCCCTAATAAGAGGGATAAAAATAAAAATCATTTTATCCCCCTAAAATCTAGCAAGCATCTGCACTTGTATTGTTAATCTAGTAAAAATGCAACTGGGTTCTCTGCTGTTACATATTTTCATTTTATAAAGAATACAAGATCACTCACATATCTCAAATCTACTAATTTGTTAATTTAAATTTACATTTGGTGAGAGTGAATTTTGAAAGTAAAATCAAACCATTGTTTAATTATTGCAAATTTTTTTCACTACACATAGGTATCTTTCTATTAAAGATAATCCTATTTGAACTATTGGAAGACACTAGATATGGATACTTTTCTTAGCGAAGATCTGAATACTCATTTGTCTGAAGAATTAATTTTTTTTTACTAGACCTAATTTCTTTGCAATATTATGAACTTATTGACCATAATTGAGGGGCCCAAAATGAGAAAGTGAAGTGGATTATAAAATTAAGCCCATCTTTTATTTCGGAACTAGGCCTGGTTTCTTTTGGTACGCTGACTAGGGACAGGTATAAATTAGAAGAAAAATTTGAAAGGAAAAAATGAAGTTAGGAGAAAAAGAGCTAAGCATTTAAGGCTCTGTTTGGATAGCACCCCAAACCATGGTTTGGGGCCAAACCATGGTTTGGGGACCCAAACCATGGTTTGGAGAAAATGCTACCCAAACAGCCTCTCCAAAAACCAAAACCATGGTTTTGGGTCAAAACTATGGTTTTGACTCCAAAACCATGGTTTTGGAAAAAGCAAAATTTTTTGCTTTTGGAGAAAAAAGGGAGAGTGTGAGGGCCTATATGATATGTATCTTGTTATTTTTTTTATAAACATATTTTTTATAAATATATTTAATCTTATATTTTATAAATATATATAGACATTAATTATTTATTAATTATATTATCTTATGTATTATTAATTATATTGGTAAAAAACATATTATTAACAATTTTATTTCTTCAAATTAAAATATATTATAAAATCTATTTTTTCTGTAATTATCATATTAACTTATGTCTTTTTTTTAGTAATTTGTATATATAAAAAGTGCTTCTGATAACAACTATCCAAACACTCTCACTTCTCAGAATCACTTATTTACAAAATCTATTCTTCACAGAATCTATTTTTTCCAGAATCTATTCTCCAGAATCACTTTTCCAAACCACGGTTTGGTTTCATCCAAACACACCCTAAGTCTGCTGACTAGGGACAGGTATAAATTAGAAGAAAAAATTTAAGTTAGGGAAAAAAGAACTGAGTATTTAAGTCTGCTGACTAGGGACAGGTGTAAATTAGAAGAAAATTTTGAAAGAAAAAATTAAGTTAGAGAAAAAGAACTAAGTATTTAAGTCTGAAGATAGGTTGCTTTACTTGAATATTCCATTGAAGACGTTTCAAAACAAGGAGGACATTGCCCTTGTATGATACAGGGAAACGAGAGTTAGAAAAATTACACAGTAGTATTAGATAAAGGGGAAAAAATTTAAAATGTCAATGCTAAGTTGTCAAGTCGCAATATTACCCCATACTTGGATGAGATCTCAAACTTAAACTTTGCGTTAACATATTTGTATGCGTAAATGTATTTAATTGTATAAAATAAAAAAATTAAGTAAATAGAAGTGGTGAGAAATTTAATTTTTCACAAGTTTTACAAATTTGTTTTATAAACAATGCAACTCAACTTGTAAATTTATGAGTTTGACATGTACATACAAATTATTAAATTTAACTTGTAAATATAAATTTTTTGAGACTTGATGGCATGTGTATTCCCTTTTATTCTTATTACAGGAATCCTTCCATAAGAAATAGTTTTCCCTTTTTATAAGCCTCTTTGATAGTTTCAATAAGTGATAGTTTCAATAAGCATTAAATAAATTTTTCAAATATGTTCATATTTAATGTGAATAATGAGAGAATTGAAACTAAGGTTACGTTTGATAGGAAGCATTGAAAATGAGGGACTGAGATTAGGATTGTAATTGAGAAAATCTATTAAAAGAGTGTTTAGTATAAAAGATTGCTTGTTATATGGGATTAACCAAACCCATATATGTGGGATTGGAGAATACCATGGGAGGAGGTGGTATTCCTCAATTCCACCTCTATAAGCTTGGCTAATCCCATATAATAAGCATTTACTTATACTAAATACTATTTCAATGATTTTTTTAATTACAATTTTAATCTCAATCTATCATTTTCAATGCTTTGTAACCAACGGAACTTAAAAGTACAATGTTAAAATTTAGTTCGGCTAATAAAAGGAACAGTGAACATTTCTTAAATCTTATAGCAAATTTAGTACTCATATTACTCTATCACTCTAGTCTTTATTATTTGTCAATTATCATTTGTGGGAATTGCTCACATATCAAGGAAAAGATTAAATAGATGAAATCTTTTACTTTTATATTTATTAATGAAAGCATTAAATGTTAATATATTTCCTCTTACTCATTCTCCCTTTCTTCACCTGTACTACATTAGGAGCAAAATTAAAAACAAAACATTGAAAAGGATATAAGGGTCAAAATTCCTCTTATTGACAAATAATAAGAAAGAGAGTGGCATTTGGAGCCGCTTGACTTGTGACATAAGGAATGCTGCCTGTGCAGTTAAGGTGGCACAAATCTTAGGGGGTGTTTGGGAAATCCAAAACCATGGTTTCAGAAGCATTTTTCCGTAAAACGAAGTAATCTCCTCCACATATTTTTTTCGTAATCAGTAAAAACACTTCTGAAACTATAGTTTGGTTTCTATCCAAATACCCCCTTAGTTGACCAGGGCCCCATCATATTCTCACACTAGCGAGTCGGCTAGGTTTGGAATGCTACTTCAGTAGTGGACGCTGCCCACCTTCGAACTTCGCAGCCTTACTTACCATCTCTGGCGTCCACCATCTGAATTCATCTGTGCGTCTAGATATTCACCTGCTTCTGGAATCTTGATTTTTTTATTTATACTCGTTTAAAAAAAAATTGTGAGTAGGCCATGAAAAAAATAAAAAACAGAGAATAATTATGAATCATTTTTCTTTTTTATTATAACTAAAACTTACTCTTCCGGTCTTTAATATAAGATCTAATTGTTAAATTGATTTTGGTCCTAAATATAATATCTATTTATTATATTTATCATTTTTTTCTAAATTACCTCTGTGGATACTTCCTCAACCATAATCAAGTAAAAGAGGGAGGGAGAATATTAAGGAAGATGATTATGGTATTTTAGAAAAAACATGTCGAATTTTTTATAATTAACTAATTTATCTAATTTTTTTAATTTAATCAAATTAGTTAAATAGGTCTTATATTAAGGATCGGAGGAGTATTATGAAATTCAAATGCAAATGTTATTTCTCTTTCAAAATATCACATGACTTTTTAAGAAATGTGTGGCTCAACATATAGGGAATTGCCGAATTTCTTTTTGGCCAAAAGGGGAAAAAAGAAACACAAGGAGTTGTCGTGTTTGTTTGGCCAATGTTTTTTCAGTTTTGAGTGTCCAGAAGCGTTACGTTAAAAGAGTTGTATAGAGATTTTCTCACCTTTATATAATCCTTCCTTTCTTGATTAAATCTTTTTTATGTGAACTCGTCGGTGTAATTTAAAGAAAGAATGTCAGTAACGTCTAAAAAAATTGATTTACTATCTTATCTGCCATTGAAACTGATAAATTCGCAATTATTTAAATAGATATTCACAAATTTTTTTTTATAGAAAAATCTTATTAAAATTTAATTATCATTAAACTAATCTTTTAGGAGCTATATATCTTTTTTTTAACATGAATATCCCAAAAAAGAAAAAGGAAAAAGAAAACGACATGAGTACAGGCCCAGCATTACTTGGATGGATCACGGATCACCTACTCTCATCTGGTGTCACCCAAAAAAGGCCAAGCCCGGGCACAAAACGACAACCTAGAGAGTCCTCGCTCCGTTCCTATTTTATTATTTTTCATAAAACTGTAAGAAAACAATTATACTCCTCCTGTCTTTAATATAAGATTTATTTAACTAATTTGATTAGATTAAGAAAGTTAAGTAAGTTAGTTAATTATAAAAAATGTGACACGTTTTTCTTAAAATACCATATTCATCTTTCTTAATACCCCATCTTCCTCTTCTACTTGATTATAGTTGAGAGAGTATCCATATGGATAATTTAGAAAAAATTGATAAATATGAAAAATAAGTCGTATATTTAGAATCAAAACTAACTTAATAATTAAGTCCTATATTAAGAATCAGAAGAGTAATTAAAAAATAGGAAGAGCGGGAATGAAGGAGAACTTTCTCCTTGGATTGATGCCTGTCACAAATTTTCATTTTTCACACGTTTCTTGCGTGGCTTGTTTCCTCATTAATTCTGCACAACTGGCTCCACCTTTAGTTTCATTTTACGTACTCCGGCAAACATACGCATCCCATATTATTCTA